TAACGAAAACATAAAATTTTAGAAAGAATTGATGAACTGAAATTATATTACTGATAGTGTTTAACTCGAAAAAATAAAACAAAAATTTGATGGGTAGATTTAGGGTTTATATAGTATGAAAGATATTAACGGGTATTTGGTCCAATAGTACTCCTTACCTTATAAATGTTTTGTATATATATAGTATGAAAGATAGGAGAGATTAAAGTTTTGAAAAATACATGAAATCAAGAAAATGGAAGATGAAAAAGAAAAAACTTACCTACATGCCTTAAAATGATTTGTGAAAATTTCGATGGTGGTCAACGATGAAAGCAGCGTAGTAGAAAGAGACAGAGAACAAGTCGTTGAAAATTTTTGTTAGGTTTGAATAGATTAAAAAGTTATCGTTAGAAATTTGATATAGAATTTGAATCTGCTTCAATTTAGATCTAGAATAAGTTTTACCTTGATTTAGTATAAGTTTGAATCCAATGATGGAGAAATTTTTTTGACCATTTTGACTAAAATTTAAATTTGAGTTTACATTTAAGTCAATGTTGGAGATGCTTTAACTCATACTTAATTGAGTTGAATTTGAATAATTTTTTAGGTTCCTTTAAAAAAATAAGCTCGCTAGACTTAGGCTCAAGTTTGAAAAGTTGGACCCGATTAATACCTTTACGTGAAACTTATTAATTCAACACCTCTCCCTAGCGAGTAACGGGTGTAACCCTTAACCACGTCAATATTATCACGTGGTATAACCGTCTAATAATAACTGATCAACAATAAGACAAAATCGTTTACACTTCTTCAAATAACCACTCTGACATGTAAGATAGTAATCACCACATATTTAAGAAATAGAGTTCATTTATCCACTTGTTTGTTAATTATTAAACGATTACACCACACGAAAATGATAAACTAATATAACATTAAACCCAATATTTACTCTCCGTCGCGACAAAAGAAAAAAAAAAAAAAAAAAAAAAACAAGGAGGGGGTGGTTGTGATTGGCTTCCACATCACATGCATATTCTCAAAGCAGAATTCAAAAGTTTCTGCAGATTGAATCTTCTACACATAATCGAAGCAGTGTGGCATTGTCTTTCTGTGTGTACACACCTCCTTTGCACGTCATAAGGCGGCGTTTTCCGACATGATGGTACCCTAAGATTTGCAGGGTCAAACACTCAACTTTAAAGAACTACAATGTAGATCTACTTGCAGCAACATCTAATGTGTGCTTGCTCGATCTGTACAGCTTGCCTTTTCTTCTATCTTATGCTGAAACATTCTGCTTTCTAAATAAAGCTTTCCACTTTATATGTTTTACTCTGAATTCTAATCAGTCAGCCGATGCAAGAGGTTTTTGGTAGATACATTGGATTTTTGTTGATAGAAAAACAATGCATAAGTGACAAAGAAGGGAAGAGAGATTGGTTGTTTAGACGAACTATATTCAAGTTTCTTGTGTAATTTTAAATTCTTATTGAAATGCAAACTTGGAGTTTTTCTTCGATTCTACTTGAACTTTGAGATTTACGCGCTTGGGAGACATAAACACAACTCTACTCGCCGGAGATAATTCAAAGATTTATAAATGTCACAATAATTGAATTGCTAAAAAAAATTATATATATATATATATATATATATATATATATATATTATACTATTTATAAATGTCAGTATCTGCAAAAAAATTTTAATTTCCTATTTTATACTTAATTATTATAATAAATTCAATTATACCTACTTATATACTTTCATCTAATTTTTATTTTTTATTCTTGTTTGAATTTTAACTTATTTTAAACTGTTTTATAAAGACTTCTAGATTCTTTTAAATTCATTTATTAATAGTCTACTTATATACAATCTTCTAAATCTATATGAATAAGTATAGTCATGTACATATTAAATTATTATATACATGTAATTATTAGATTAAATTTCATAGTCAAATATATGTTATATTTTATTTTTTTAGTATATAATAATATTATAAATGATCTAATCAATCTATTTAATAAAGTAAAAATTAATAATCATATAATATAATTAGTTGTGCAAATGCCTAAAACAAATGACAGATTAAGTACTCAAAGACTTATAAAATAAAATAATAATTAAATTTAAAAATAATTTAAATACAGATTAATTATTTGACATCAAATTTATTATTTTATTTTATTAACACATAATTCATCATTTTTAAAAAAAATATTATTTAAATTTATTTACGTACAACACATGTCATGCGTTGCTAATTCTAATAAATATTAAAACCCATAATTAAATCAATGAGAGTAATTAAAAATCAATAAATCATGTCTGCATGTTAGATCTAAATAGCATTGTTCAAACACAAAAAATAAGCATGTGTCAGAAGTGGGATTTGAACCCACGCCCTCTCTCGAAGACCAGAACTTGAGTCTGGCGCCTTAGACCACTCGGCCATCCTGACTTTGAGTGCTGATTTTTTTATTTTATTATACTAATACTATGTTTATCCAGTTGCAAATTGTCGATGAGTGTCCCTTTTCAAGTGCATTCCACTTCATCATGGACAAAATGACGTGGAGATGCATCTGTATGTTCCCTTTAAAATTAAAGCAACAGGAGTTTCTCCTCTTTTCTATAGAGTTAAACTTGAATGAATTATAGACTCCGACATCAAATATTCGATTCTAATTGATATTTGTGATTTATAGATGATTGCAGACATCTGAAATTTATTCTCGCAAGGATGAGTCTAAAGTAATTTTACCCTGAAGAAGTTGTTACTCGATAACATAAAAAAAAAAAAAACCATATATCACATGTTGGATTTAATCCGAAGGTATCTAGCTACAGAAACTGAATTAATTAACATATCTGGCAGGATTTACGTAGTTGTTGTTAAACTTTTTCACCAAATGGACGGCTGATAAGCCTTAAAGATCCCTCCTTTTTTTGAGCCGACTTGGGTGCGTGGTTCTAATCTTATGAACCATTTTGCTCTCTTTGGTATCCAATTCGGTCATAAAGATGTCGAGACCATAGAAATGTAGGATAGCTACATGGTATATAAGAATGGAAAAGCCTAGATTCTTTAACATAGTTTTTTTTTTTTTCTCAAAACCGTTAATTAGGTGGAATTATTTAATGTTCACCTCGGTTTTAATGGTAACAGTATTTACTTACATCATTATGTCAATAAATTAACTCAATATGAGAGTCTTGTATTGTGGAATGTATTTGAGTCATAACTACTAACTTGAAAGAACAGTCTATCAAACAGTAAATCGTGATCAAAAAAGTAGTTCTAACTTCAATATCATTCAAACATTTATAAAGTCAATCCTCTTGTGATAAATAATTAATTAGAATCCCTTCCACATGGATGTTCTCGGTTCATTACTTTCATTGGCCGGCAAAAAACAAAAATGTCTACTCCAAGTAAAACGTTTCTAAACTCCTTTAACATTGCAAATGTACTTATATTCCTAATAGGTTCATATGACATGTAATAACCTACATACATTTTTCATTGGAAAAACTTAATCTGAATAAGGTTTTTTTTTCCCCTTATATAGCAATTTGATGTAGCTTACTCCTAAGGAAGAAAGACATGTGAGGCACTAAACGAAATGTGGGATCAAATTCAGATGTTTAAAATGGTAAGAATTTCATCTTGTGGAGTTTCAGGAATCTTAATCACCTGATGGTTCATAATGAAAATTATTTGTAAATAATATCTAATATACCTTACATTTCGTATATAATGGTGCACAAAATAGGCTTGTACACAATTAACAGTCGAGTGTATGATTCAAGATAAATAATGAAACAATCAATAAAACAATTAATAACAACAGATAAAAATTAGATCAACGGGTAGATGTATAGTAATTCGGTCAAGATGACGTACTCGACTTTCGAGGGAGGTGACGGTGGTGGTTAGAGAACTCTATTGATAAAATAGAAGGTGGGAGAGAGAGAGAGACAGAGTAAGGGTAAGCTATAGCACTACAACAAAAATTATTTTTTGCGACGAATTTTAATTTGTTGCAAAAAAGTATACTATCCGCGACGTTATAATATTTTTGTCGCCAAAAGTATTTTTTTGGGAATTTTTTTGCGACGTTTTTTAAAATTGTCGCGAAAAGGTGATTCGATTCAAATTGTTTTTGGCGCGAGAAATGGCGAAAAATTAAGATTTTTTACGACAAAAAAGTATTGACTTAAAATGTTTTTTTGCGACGTTTGAAAAACGTCGCGGAAGATAAATTTTCATTATTAAAGTTAAATGAAATAATAATGTCAATTGACGACATTTTTTTTAATTCGTCACAAAATATAAATTTATTAATTTTAAATTAAACTTAAAATATTTTTTCCGACGTTTTTCAAAAACGTTGCGGAGGATAAATTTTCATTATTAAAGTTAAATGAAATAATAATGTCAATTTGCGACGTTTTTAAAAATTTGTCGCAGAATGTAAATTTATTAATTTTAAATTAAACTTAAAATGTTTTTTGCGACGTTTTTTAAAAATGTCACCAAAAAGTCATATGCTTTTAACATTTATTGGCGCAATGAATGGTGGGAATTGATGATTAGAAATTTTAAATTAGACCTTAAAAGTTTTTAACGACATTTCTAAAAATGTCGCAGAATATAAAATTTTCCTATCTGACTGTCTATTTCCCATAACATGTTTTTCGCTCAATAAGTGTAGCTAGCCCAGATAAATCCCTCACGCCAGTCTCCGCCTCTCTCTGGCTCTTCATGGATTATCCACAAAACCCCATTGATCCCTGCCTCTCTCTGCCTCAAAACTCCATCGAAGCTTTAGATTTGCTCAAAACTTCAAGTATTCTGCCTCTCTTTGCCAGACTCAGACCATCTAAGCTTCAGACCTCCATCGAAGCTTCAGACCATCGTTCGCTGCTTCAGACCATCGTTTGCTAGTTCAGGTATTCTCATTTCACCTAAACCCCTCCCCTTAACTGAGTTTCTTATCGATATGCGAAGGTAAAACCCTAAAGCTTCAAATTTGTTTCTTTATGGTTTCAATTGTGTCATAGTTCTTGTTTTTTGATTGATTGAATCTCTGTTTGTGGATTTATATAAATTTTTGTTCTTGTTTTTCCAAATATTTTTTGGTGAGTTGTTTTTGTTAATTAGATGTGTTCTTATATTGAAATCAGTTGGTGGATATTGAAAATTTTTTCCTTTGACCCTACATTTTGGTAACAATGGTTGATTCTAACACTGATTCTCAAATCTCTCAAGATTTGATCACTCCTCTCAATACCCATTTCGCCTCTCACTCCAAATCCTCCGCCATGGAACCACCACCACCAACACCACCAAAATCCTACTGGCGATTCAGCAAACAAGACTTTTTCCTAGCACCCTCCTTCCAAAACCTCTCCACAACGATGCTGGCCCAAGTATAGTTCTTTCTTATGCCACTTCAGGCCTCTCTGCCTTGCTATCAGTATTTTGTTACACTGAATTTGCTGTGGAAATACCTGTGGCAGGTGGGTCTTTCTCATTTCTTCGAATCGAGTTGAGTGATTTTCTTGCTTTTATAGCTACGGGTAATATTTTACTAGAGGCCGTTGTTGGTGCTGCTGGATTAGGGCATTCATGGTCTTCTTATTTTGCTATTATGATAAAATCTAATGCGGATTTCCTTAGAATTCGAGTGAACTCTTTTGCTAAAGGGTTTAATTTATTGGACCCAATTGCGGTTGTGGTTTTAGCGATTGATAACACTATAGCTATGAGTGGGACACACAGGACATCTTGCTTGAATTGGGTTGCATCTATTTTCAGTGCTGGGGTCATAGTTTTCATTATAATTGTTGGATTTATGATTGGTTGCTTAGCTTGAACTAATTATGTGGAAAGGAATTAGTTGATTTTGCTGTTAGTCTTCTGGATGTTTCTAAATTTTTGGACAGCTATGGGCATTGGGTTAAATTGTTCTGTTCCTGTTGGTATGATATTGAATTGGGTTTTATTGAATTGCATTGGGTTTAATTGAATTGCCTTTGCATTGGGGGCTGAACTATGGAAAGTTTGATAACTGATATTGAGGAGATCCAAATATTTATCTTTATAACCTTTATGGCCTACTAAAACACATTCATTTATGTGAAGACTCCAAACCATTAAAGACTCCAAACCATTCAAGTACCCCAAAACATTACATCAGGAGAATAGCTGGTTAATCTAAGTATTAAAGAGAATCAGCAAAAGGTTAAACAAAAAATAACTACACATAATTGTAAGGGCATTCAAGGTTATTTCCAAGAAAAACAATGGCTCATTAAGTGAAGATTCGACTCTATTAAGTAGTTTTTCAAGCCTGCTCTATTAGTTTCCCCACAAAACATGCAACTTGCATACCATAGGCAGTAGAATGCATTTAGATTACATGCAACCTGAGTCTTAGTATCTTTTTACTATCGTTTTATGTTCAACACTTAAAAAGTATAAAAACTAAAACTTGGAGCTAAAAGGGCCAATCGGCTTGTTTCAACTCCGTTTGCCGTGAAAGCGAATGGGGAACAACTAAAAATTTCAACACTTAAGATTTAGAAAACCTGTATGTTTTTTAAAAATTTGACTGATAATTTATTAATGTATTTCTTTCCTTTTTTGTACCAGATGAATTGAACTTGTGACAACAATCTTGTTCTACCATTTTTGAAAGTTATCAAGGCTATCACATATTGACTTGCATGCGTGGCAAGGCAATTGACTAACAGTTTTACTTTGTGGTCGTGTTTCTCATTCACTGCATTTTCTTATTTGAGTTTCATGTTGATGTAGGAAATGCTGCATAAGAAAACTTCTACAAAATACTTAGCAAGTGTAAATCCTGAGAAATGAAGATTATTGGTTCACTTTCTACTTCTCTGGAAAAAAAAAATCAACCTTTTACTGAATTGTTGTTCAAAGTTAAATGAGCAAGCTCCTGACTGTGAAACCCTGTTTCAGAATCTACTAGACCATGTAAATGCTAATGGAGAGCAGATGCCTATAGCGTCCTCAAGCATGATTCGTTCCCATAGTGTATCCGGTGACCTGCATGGTGTTCAACTTGATCCTGTAGCAGCTGATATTCTTAGGAAAGAGCTAGAGCATGAAACTTTTGTACGACTCAAAATTTCCCCAACTAGTATTCTCCATCTTCTTGCCTTGGTGTATGTCATTGTTACCTGAACTCGCATTTTCCAGTTATATTACCTTGCTTATGTTAGAAAATTTTGTGTTGGTGGGTTATTGCTGCAGAGTATGCAAAGTAATTATCTAAGGATTGCATCTTATCAAAAATGTTCAATCTGCATTCTGCAGGTGAACTAGACCATGATGAAATATCCATAAACATTACTGATTTCATTCTTAATGGGTCGGGCAGTTCATTTTATAGCCTCCAATAATGATTGTGGAGTTAGAGACTTTGATATGGAAAAATTTCAACTCTGTAAGCATTCTCGTTATCCATGGCAAGTTAATGTAAGTCCTCTGTTTCTCACTCAGTTTGTTAGTCTGTTAAACTGCGTAGCATTTTTGCTGATCATTTGGCTGCTTAAGTTACAATATGAGAAGATTATATGATATTCACTTTATTTTTAATTGTTATTTTTTTGTTATTACTTATTAATGTTTTTACTTATGTTCACATTTGCATCTAGTTTCAAGAAAACTTCGCCTATTCCTGAGTCTCTGTTCTTCGTGTTGATGAGCTCACCAGGAATGTGAATTAAATACATTTAAGAGAAATATTCAGTACGTTCTTCTTATTCTTATCTTTGGGTGCACACTATTTTTTCTAGTAATATTCTTCTATAGTTAACCGAAAATCATGGATATTACTTTGTGGAAAGTTGCATTTCCAGATCAAGCATGTGTATCAGGATGCCAATAGCATTGCAGAATTTCTGACTTCTTATGTAGTCCTTTATGGTAGAAACTCTGATTTTTCTGAAAATGGGAAGCTGCCCACTGCTAGAAGAGTACTTCTTCAATAGGACCAAGGCATGATGCCTTCTATAAGATTGAAGAAGATGAGTGTATGTGATAACAGACATGGGGTTGGATGATATTGTGATTAATGTGGATGTGCAGGTGCTGCTTGGGGTGCTGGGCAGTGAGCTATTTTATTGTCTGAGTTCAGTTGGGAGGAGGAGTTTTGTGTAATGTCAGGGCTTTTCTGTTATGTTTGGTGAGGTGTGCCTCTGGTGTCACTTGTTATGCTTCTCTGTCATTTTGGTTGTGCTCATTGGCTTGAGGTTGGTTGTTGGTGCCTTTCCTAGTTGGGTGCTTCTGTGCTGTCAGTCTGCTGCTATGTGGCTGTGTGCTATGGTGCATGTGCTTTGCTGTGGTTTGGGGGTGATTGCCTTGCTTGTTCCTCCTTTCTGGTCATCCCCTCTTTTGCTTGTGTGCACTGTCAAGGGATTGGGAGATGTTATCGATGTTGTGGAGGTGCATGTGTTGCTTGGTGTTCTGGGCAGTTTTAAACGGCTTCCTTGGTTCAGTATCAGTTTGGATGCAGTGTGTGATGTGCTTCTGGGCTGCTGGTTCTGGGGCAGGGTATTTCCAGCTGGTTGGTGAAAGTTTCTACTTGGTTCTGACTTCAAAGGTTTTTTCATGTTGAAAGGTTAAAGCCAACCCTTGTTGGCCTTCATCTTCTTCAGATGGTTTTCCTGCTATTGGAGGTTCTGGCTTGGTGTTGCATTGTTCTGTTTTGACTGGAATGGTGTTGTGTTATGCTGCAGGGCTTCTTTTTCTCCTTTGTGTTGTGTTGTGCACTGTTTACGTGACTGTTCACGTGAACAGTCTGCCTGTTGCTGCTGATGCCTTCTGTTATGCTGTTTTTTGGATTTTGTCTGGTATGGAGCTGATCCTTTGCTGGTTTACCAGTTCATTTCAGCTGGATTCACAGCTAGAATTTAGCTGCTCTCTTTTGGCTCTCCCTTTTCTTCTTTGCCACTTTTCTGGCTTACTTTGCTAGGCTGATGTTGATGAATTTTCAACGACTCTCCTCAGCTGCTGGCTCTTAGCTGCTGCTTCCCTGCTGGACTTCAGCTGGATTTTAGCTTTATCTCATGGTTTTTGGTGCTTTCAGCTGGTCCTGCTTGCTGTCTTTGTTGGACAGTCACTGCAATGTTCATTTATGGTGCCCAAATCAGCCCAGCAAATGAATTGGAACTTTTACGTTATTGTTTTGGTGAGTGAAGCACATTCTCTTTGCAATATTGATTGACATAGGGAATTAAGGAGCATTCCTTTTACACTCTAGTCATTTAGTTCAGACATAAGCTTCATGGTGAGGTAATAGAGTTAATTTTTCTTTTACTATAGGAGCCTCACTTACTGCAACGTGGTTTTGGAGATATTTTTTGCATGTTTGTTCTGATAGATAAAAGGAGTTGAAGAATATTAGTATTTATACTCAATTCCTTGAGCATTGATATACGAGTTATAAGATTTCTCGCTTGCCTACAAGATAAAAAGAGTTGAAGTATATTAGTTATTTATGCTCTTACCTTGAGCATTGATATACGAGTTATTTATGCTCAAATCCTTCTTAACATTTCTCTCTTGCCCTATTGATAGGGATCTTCTGATCAATGCAATTATTGAACTTCAGAGGTATTAGTTCACAAGAAATACCAGATTAAAAAGCTCTTGAATTAGCCATGATAAACTGGAGTTCTTTACATTAATCTGTCATAAATAAAGAGGCTCCAAGCAATGTCACTGTTGATTTAAACTACTCATACTGATTTGTTGAGCTTGGAGATGATATTTCAAGATATGGAGCTGGACTGCTGAAGGTGTTCAAGTTTAAGAGACATTAAATTTAATTAGAGATGGTTTAAATCCTCTTGAAGGATTAAAGCCATTTTTTTTATTTTTAGAATTTCATGTTCTTTGACTCTTGTAATTCATTTTTTTTTGAAATAAAATTTTTTTTTTTAAAAAAGTGCAAAATGTATTAATTGTATTAATTTTTTATTGAACACAGGTATTAATGGTGTACAAGTGAAAAAATTTATTGAAATATTATTTTTATGAATTATTTTTTTAAAAAAAAAGAACATTTTTGCGACGAAATTAAAATCGTCGTGCAACATTGTTATTCAATTTTTTTTAACATAAAAATTATTAGCGATGATTTTTTTATGTCGCAAAAAATTAATCAAATTATTATTTTTTATATTTTTAATTTATGTAAAAAATTATTTGCGACGATTTTTTTATGTCGTAACAATTAATTAAATTATTATTTTTTACATTTTTTTTATCAAAAAAATTATTCGCGATGATTGTTTTACGTCGCTAAAAATTAATTAAATTATTATTTTTTATATTTTTTATTTATGAAAATCTTATGTGCGACGATTTTTTTACGTAGCGAAAAAATAATTAAATTATTATTTTTAATATTTTTTATTTATGTAAAATATCATTCGCGACGATTTTTTTACGTCGCGAAAAATTAATTAAATTATTATTTTTTATTTTCTTACACTGGTGGAATAGATTTTAGCTACGTTTTTTTTTACTTTTAACAACGTTTTTTTTTCGTCGCAAATTATTTTTTTTTGCGATGAAAATAAATTTGCGTCGCAAAATACTTTCTGCGACGAGACTATTGCGACGAAAAGAAAATGTCGCAAAAAATAATTGACGACGATTTTTTTTAATTTGGCGACGAAAAAAATCTTCGCAAAAAATAATTTTTGTTGTAGTGTAGGTAGTCATGAGAAAGATAGTTGTGTAGAAATGTGTGTAGAGATATGTCCCACTATATGGAGAGGGCTTACAATTTATAGACACAAAGCTTTGGCTTAGGCGATGGCGTGAAGTGATAAGTGACTATTTTTTCAGAGTAGTTATCCCGACAATTATTTCCCACGAGCGCTAATCTCACTGAACCCCTTGAACTTTAAACTGGATCGAATCTATGAGTTGGGTTTGACCTACTTCGTAACTGATTTGGGCTTATTTCATGAATGAATTGGGTCTTAACCCAATTAGATATAGCCTCGTCACCTTACATTTTGTATATTAGAGTTCAGAATCCCAATGCATAGTTCAAATGATAATAGTGACAAATTGTAAATTCAGGCGTTCTAAATTTAAATTTTAATAATTTTTTAGATGTATCTCTCCTAAATATTCTAATTTCAAACTTGTTTTTGATTGAACCAAAGAAGAAGAGATTACATCAAACGCACATAAATCGGCTCAAATACGTTGAACAATATATGTGTGTGTGTGTGCAGAACTTAAAAAGTTACTATGCGATGACCAAAGTGGGATAGAAACCAACTTTGCTAAAGTTGGGGCAGCCATACCACGGGTCGTTTCTAAGTTTGGCACCGTAAATGACTTGATTTTGGCTTTACACAACAGTAGATTTTGTTCTTCTTCCATATATAATACCCGTATACATAGAGGTTCTCATAGCAAAAATATATACATAGAGAGAGGTCCATTTAACGCAGCCAGTTTTCTCATTAGAATTAGATACTCTCATCTTCATCCTTGTTCCTGAACAACTTACTTTAGATTTAGAAAGTTTATGTGTAGTACAACCCAACTCAACCCCCATTGGTCTTGTCTCAAACCCACTTATCATCCCAAAACATTCATAAAAAGATCCAAATCTTGTTTATAACTTTGTATCTTCAAAACTCATTCGTCTTTCTCCAGATGGAACTGAACTCCTATTGTTCTTCCTCTCTGTATGCTACCCTCCTTTTGCTGATCTGCAGAGGTAATAGAACTTAAAAGTTTCCAGTTTTACAATCTGGGTTTTGTGTGTGTGTGTGTGTCTTTGCGTCTTTCTATGTGTTAACATGAAATGAAGCTCTTCCATAACATAATAATGGCGGTTTCTGTTTTCAAAGTTTCAGACTTTACTTACCAACGTCAACTGTCACATCTTCAGTCTAGCATTACTCGTGTTTTAATTTGAAATGAAGCTCCTGTACAGTATTAATGGCGGTTTCTCTTTTCTCAGGCATTTCAGGGGCTACATTTACGTTAATAAACCGGTGTGACTACATAGTATGGCCTGGAATACAAGCCAATGCGGGTAGCACCAGATTGGCTAGTACCGGGTTTGAACTCCCACCGGGTGGGTCAAAGTCATTCCAAGCTCCACCAGGCTGGTCTGGGCGGTTATGGGGCAGAACCGGTTGTTCTTTCGGCATGAATACGAGTGAAGGAAGCTGCGCCACCGGTGATTGCGGTTCCAACCAAGTAGAGTGCAATGGTGCCGGAGCTACCCCACCGGCAACTTTAGCCGAGTTCACAATCGGATCGGGTACTGATTCCCATATCCAGGACTTCTATGATGTCAGTTTAGTTGATGGGTACAACTTGCCAATGATTGTTGAAGCAATTGGAGGGTCCGGTAATTGCAGCTCAACCGGGTGTGTGACCGACTTGAACAGGATGTGCCCGAATGAGTTACGGGTCGGGGATGGAGGTGCATGCAAGAGCGCGTGTGAAGCATTTGGGAGTCCAGAATACTGCTGCAGCGGCGCGTATGGTTCACCGTCGACTTGTAGGCCGTCCGTTTACTCGGAGATTTTTAAATCGGCGTGTCCGAGATCATATAGCTATGCCTACGATGATGCCACCAGCACCTTTACGTGTTCCGGGGCGGATTATACCATCACATTTTGCCCTTTATTAACAAGGTAACATTTTACTTTTTCAGTTTATAATATCTTACTCTAATTTGATTCCATTCTATTTTGTCCTTTCTTTTTCTTGATACATTTATTCTATATCCATTTACACTTTTTTTTTTCTACTTTTTCCAAAACATCCTGTTTTAGCACATTTTCAACCCTTATTCTTATTTTGACTTAAATTTAAATTTGAGTAAAAAATATCAAAAATCATTTCCGAATTTTTACTACAATCTATTCCGAATTTTGATCCAAATCGAGAAAGAATACCCAATCTTCTTTTGTAATTGTTTAAGTATAGCACCATTTGCAAGTGTAGTGATTTTTTTTTTTTTGGTGATTTTACTTTGCATCTATGTCTACATCTCTTTAATTGTACCTTTTTCCTTATGGAGACAAGTATCTTGTCTCATTTTCTTCCCACGTGGTTCACCTTAATTTGTTCTACATACTTTGTAAATTTATTTGACAAAGTCTTTATGTCACTCAATGAATCAAGTTAACTTCCTAATATTGAGATAGATTCCGCCACAAAACCGACAAAGTTAGTGGGTATATGTGAACTCAATTAGTTTTAAAAGGGTAGAATTTACTAAGTGCATCAATATAAATCTAACTAAACATGATTTATGTGTGTTTTAAACTCCATGTTCGAGTATGAGTCTTGATTGTCTTTGGTTTTCAAGTCCAATGATTCCTGCTATGACAATTTCACCGAGTCATCTTTCTTTTCAACCTCTTCTCCTGCAGCCAGAAATCTTCAAGAGATTCATCATTGCCAATGACTACAGGAACACCAGATGGTTCAGGATCAGGATCACAAGAAAGCTCATGGTTACCCAACTCTGTCACCGGGAACTCATGGAAGATCGCTTCTCATTTTGCCATGCAATTTACACTGATTGTTTCTGTAATTGTTTTTCAATTCCTCTCTTTTCTTCATTTCTAGAGTCATTCTTCAGATGGATCGCTGTTCGATAGTTATTGTAACCAGAATAAGCAGGCATGAACTTCCATACGGCACCCTAGTTTTTTAGTACAAGTATCTAAGGGGGCTGGGAGGTCATCTACTCTCCTCCAGAGAAGCACATGCAACGATTTCGCGCTTTTGCTAACTTGGGATTCACTTCACTGGGAAGCATGGCAAAGTCCAGATTGTAAAGCACAATCTTTTGTGCCATATGATAAATATTAAGTTTTTTTTGCTTGGAAAGTACTCCTTATCTTGGCACAGAGGTTTTGAATCATGGCACTTTGGAGCCAAATTAGTAAGTAGTGGTATTCAATATAGACAGAAATTCAAGGAAAGCAAACAGTTAACTGGAATATTGACCAGTTAGCAAAAACCTTCCCATGGTTTGCAAACTTGCTATTTGATGGTTAGACAATTCCTCATAATCCACTCATCCAGCAATCGACATTCGATGGGATGCGCGTCGTTATTCAAAAAAGTATATACGTTTGTCTAATGAGTTGCTCTGATATTTCTGCTTCCAAGGTTTGAGGCAGAAAGAAGACATAGATCCGAATCAACACTTTCCTGCCAAACCTTTTTTCTATGGTCTGTCATGTTAACTGAGGACTGTGTGTTGTTTTATCCTTCAGTATAACTTGAGTCAAGCCCAAAGCTTTTCCTTTGTCATTTGCATAGTGAATGTGATGTCTTTGATTGAATTCACTTGAATTTTAATTCCTCTTCCTACTCGCAATATGCTTTTTATAACCCCGGCTTATGATTCAATTACCATGTATTTAGTTGTTGAGCTTCAAAGTTTTTATTTTTAGGGTTAATACCACTTTTGATTCCTAAAGTATGCATTCTTTTTATAGGTTTAATCCTCAATATATTAATTTTTTCAATTTAATACCTAAAACATTCAATTTATGTGAGAGAAAGAGGGCATGAAGTCTAATTAAATTTGGAAATTGAATTAGGAGAGAGAGAGAGAGAGAGAGAGAGAGATATGGGAAATTGAATTTGGAAAGCAAGCTTAATTTGGAAAATTGCCAGTGAGAGAAGCTTAATTAAGCAGAAGTGGGTGCTGAAACAGAGGTCCCATTTAACAAATATTTATTGCTGATTATAGTAAAGATGAATTTTAGTGGATTCATTTTTAGATTGACAAGTTTAACAAATATCATTCAAGTTTCAGTCCCTATGAAATAACATATTTTTTCGCACGTGAATCTACTTCTTGTCTAAGATTTATGATATTTATTATTTTAACACGTCCTCTTATTAAAGAAATATGCCAATGACACAAACAAATGTGAGATGATATATGTTAAATTGTTGCTGATATGGGCCCAATTCTTTGTTACAATGACTTATTCTTATAGATTGTGTTTCTAAACGATATGAGTCATGTCATATCAAAATTTATTCGATCCATATCCAACCAATTTATAATCGAGCAAAATCAAATTCATTTCATGTAAAAGATGTACTCAATAGCAGTGTTATCAGAATCGAATCAGACCGGTCAGTCCAACTGGTCGAACCATGAACCAGGACTTCAAATGGTTTGATTTTATAATTAGACCGTTTAAAGAATCAAACCGCTTATGAACCATTAAACTAACCGATTTTTAGATAACAACCGTGAACCAGACGAGTTTGTAAAGCGAACGATTAGAAGGCGACCACTCTATTCGAAGCTCAAGCGACCACTCGTTCCTTCGATCGCCTTTTGTGATAAGCCTCATGATCTCATCTCTATTCTTTCTCTCTATCCCTATGTGACTTTGTCTCTCTTTCATACACACACCACCATTGACTACTGAGAAATAGCCCTTCCATTTTTTTGTTTTTTCCCTTTTTTTTGAACATGAACAGTAACCTTTTGTAATTTATTTGCCTCGAGCAGTTAAAAAGGCAGAGATAATATCTTGTCTTTTTCGAGCTTCTAGAAGTCTACAACAACTTGTATATAATGAAAATAATTTTTTAATATCTTATTTTTATTACTCTTGTTATTATTTTACCTTTTTTTTGTTAGATAGGATTATATGCAAGTGGTGTTAATTTTATAGTAAATTTTATGTATTATGGATATATTTTATATTTTTTTAGCTAAATTATTATTTTTCATATTTTTTTTTATTACACAATCAATTCGATCAGTTGACCCAACGATTGAACCAATAAATCATTAATCTAATTCCTCTATCGATTCGATGACGGATTCAATTATGATAGCATTGCTTAATAGAATTCATGTGAATCTATATTCAAGACGAATATGACATATCCTCCTACTTATCACCCGAACCCACTAAACCACTACCTTTATGTCAATATTGTTTCCATGTACAAGTGTGGTCTACTTATGACAATGTGAGCTTGGACCTAAGCACGGGTGGAAAGTATGGGCTCAGTACAGGCCTCAGGAGTGGTTGAATTGAAGCCCTTGGGCCAATCCATCCATCTTTTCGATCCAGTTGTTCGGACTCGTGGATATTCTGAGTATCCAATAAATGTTCACAAACTAACTACCACCAGAGATTATAGTGGACCGAAAAAAAATGGATATTCGTCTCGTTTGAACCAGGGATATACTATACATATTGGACGATGGACGTATATGAAAATGCCCGTATAAACCAATACGGGAATGAATGCAGAGATGGACTTACCCTTACCCCCGCCCTTCCCCTCCCCACCCCCGTTACCTGTTATATATATATATATATATATATATATATACTCACAAGCCTTAACTAAACATATTTACTGTAATTATTAATCTAGAAATATAGTAATCAAACTAATAAGTGGTAATCTTATCAACTTTTTCCCTGATTATTCTTTTGTTTATTTGTGTTCACTAATTGAAACTGTTAGGAGTTTGGATTGATCATACTCTAAAAACAGATAAGAGAGAGTAAGATAGTTTTGTATTTCATTGTGGATAAAAATATTGTGAATGAAAGTTGATAAGTTTCTCTGCTAGAGTAAACTAAGAAATTGGGAGAATTATTGAATTAGCGAATTTTTAAATTTTCATCTTTTAACACTTTATGACTGTAATATGAATTGTAATAATAAAAAATTTTCTAGGAAACTTCAAGTATAGCGCTATCGTTTTCTTAGTTTAATTTTATTTTTCTTTTCTTCATTTCTCTCTAATAGTTCTGTTTCTCTTTTTGTGGTCCAATGACACTTTAAACAGAATACTATATTGTTTTGACTTTTACATTATGTAATCTAAATTATTCACTAGATTATTTAGAATGTTGTTGAATTATGTAAAATATTAGATTTATTTAGAATTTTAGATTATGCTACTTGGGCTTGAGCTTGGGCTTAGGCTTGAGCTTAAGCGGGTATGGGGAAGTGGGGACGGGGACGGGGATTAAAAATTTATCCTTGGACGGGGATGGGGATGAAAATTATACCCGTTAACGGAGGTGGACCAGGGATGGACAGAGTTTTTTTAAGCGGGTATGGGAATGAAGACTACACTCTCCGCCCTCGCTTCGGTCCACTGACATCCCTAACTACCACTATAGACATACAAGAGAAATTGCTGAAATCTGCTTTGCTTTGAAAAGAAAGAGAAGCATTTTTTGTACTAGTTCGTTTGCTTTGAAAACACAAGATAATTTAAAACTATTGAAATATAGAGGGTGTGTTTGGTTTTTAAAAACAGTTTTTTGTTTTCAAAATACAAAATTTTTTGAAATGTTGTTTGGACAACAATTTTCAAAAATAATTTTTCAAAAAAAGTAAAAATTGAAAACAAAAACTAAAGAACACCATTTAGATGTTTTCTGAATTTTTAAACCAAAAATAGAAAGAGCAATGCTATTGGAACATAATTTATGAACATAACGAGTTGTCACTAAAGAAATGATGGTGAATTTATTTAATGCTACAATGGGACCCATCATTAAATATATTTCATTATCATTTCATTGGTAACAACTCATTATGTCCCCAAATTATGTCCATAAACTATGTCCTAATAGTATTAGTGCAATAGAAAACAAGGAAAATAAGGGAAACAATCTCACTCTTTAATAAGGTTTCTTCTTCGAATTCCCTTTGCAGCAAAATTTGCCAAACTTTTTTTTTTTGGGCCTTTCTCTCTCCTTGATGTTCTCCCTCTCCGATCGGCGAAACCAGGCAAGCATCTGAGAGAGCTCAGACAATCACAGGCAGGCTTTTCATGGCATCCCTCTCACGCAATCCATCTCCTTTCTCTCTTTTTGCAACAGATCTGTATAGATCTATGTATATATAAAGATACGTGTTTAAATTTGTATATATACACAGATCTATGTATATATATGTGTATTGTACTCGTGGGTGTGTGTATGTTTGTGCTGTGTAAGAAGATAATGGAGAGAAAGATGCTGTGAGAAGATACTATACTTGTGGGTGTGTGTATTTTACACCATTTTATGGATTATTGTCTAAACAGGTTTTACTATTTTTTGTACTTTAAAATTATTTTCAAAACTATATAATCAAACAAGTTTTACAATACAAAAATATTAAAAGACATTTTTTTAAAATTTTTTTAAAATTTTTCTAAAAAATTATTTTCGCATACTATTTTTAGAAATACAAATCAAACAGATCCTAGTTCTTTTGTTAGTTTTCGTTATTCATTCTATCAATTTTAATGGGATGATTCTTTACAGAATAAACAATAAAAATTAACCGAAGAATCATATCACAATACTTTTAAGGACAAATTTCACTGACATTATCTGAATTTAAATCATATTTCATTGACCAATTTTTTAAATAACACTGCATACTCTTGCCAACTTTTATCGATTAATAGCTGTAAAATAGGGGCTAACCTAAGTACCTAATTAACTATGATTACAAAACTTTTTTTTCTTAGGGCGTTTTGTTTATTTCACATAAAGCCATTATTAATATAATTGTATAAAATTAACCCTAAATTAATATTCAATATTATTCAATTTATATCAATTTGAAATTAAATTTTATCATATTGGTATTTAATTTTATTCAATTAACATACACTTTTATCAAATCAACACCAAATTTTTATATTTATCAAATTAACCAAAAAAAGACCATTAATTACATTAAATTTTGTCAAATTAATATCAACTATTATCAAATAACACTTAATTTATCCAGTTAACATTCGATTTTAACAAACTAATAGTCAATTTGTCAAATTAACACCAAATTGACATATTATACTATCAAATAAATATTCAAATTTTATATAATCAATACTCCACTTCACCAAATTAATATTTTATTTCATTAAATAAAAAATAAAATCTTCCTTAAATTATATCATATTAATATTTTATTTTATCAAATCAACACGAAATTAATATTAAATTATATCAAATTAATTTTTAATTTTATCATATCAACATTAAATTTTTTCCAATTAATATTCAATATTGTTGAATTAATACCAAATTAATATTAATTTTATCAAATTAACCTCTAATTATAATCGATTTTTCAACTGTTTTATGGGGTTTTGATGTTATTTTGAGTGCTATGCATTTTTGACCATTTTTAGGTGTAGCGGTTTTTAATTTTAATGATGCACAAATCGGTTTATACAGTATTTTTCGAGTGATTAGTATGGTTAATAAAATGTAGTAAATATGATGAAAAACTCAACACAAGCAACACACAGAGATAAAAATGATTCTGTTAGGATGACCTACTTCACTTTGAAGAGTTTTGGTTGCTAGTGATATTTTATTGTTGTAGGAGTGTGGAGAGCTCATGTGAAAGTAATGAGAGTTTCCGGTGAGTCAGGTGTGAGATAAAATGTCAAATGCCCCCGTGTGTAGGTGGACTTACAATTTATAAGCATCTTCTAACAGATTGAAGCGTCACATTCATAACAAATAGGCTAATTTGGTAGAGACAACATCATTCTCGCAACAGATTGGTAGTTGCATGGAGATGGCATGGAGATCTCTTTATCAGTTGTAAATTGGGTTTCAGGATGGCATAGCTAATTCCTTGACTCTAAGATGGCGTAACTACCTCCTTGACTCTAAGATGACATAGCTCCAAGATGTCGTGATTGACTTTTTAACTTTAGAATGACGCGACTCCCTCCTTAACTCTAGGATGGCGTGACTCCATTCTTAACTCTAGGATGGCGTAGCTGGCTCTGCTCACTTCGTGGTGAGTCGAGTTGGGTCTCATTTGGGCCAGGCTCATTGGACTTTGTTTAGATTGAGACCATTACTTAAACTGGATCTTGTTCCAGCGGGTCCTACTATCCAAATTAAGTTTTGTCTCGGTTGATCTCATTATTTGAGGTGGGCCTCGTCTGGACGGGCCTGTCAAATTTTGTTACGTTTTCTGAGAGAGAGTGAGAGAGAGATGACTTAGTTCATATTATTCAAGAAGAATATCTGTTGAACGAAAAAAAAAGAAACATCAGAAATTTCTTCCCATTCATTTACTCCCACTCAGTGTTCCTATAATCACATGCACTGTGGTCATTGTAGTCTGCATTAGAAATTTCAATGATGAATTTTTACAGTTTGACTCACTGCAAAAGAATTCAATAGTTGAGAGTGACTGCCAAGTGGTTATTAAACTTTTCTCAATCGAAGGTGCCCTCGAAAAATCGGTGCTCTTATAGAGGACATCAAGTTTATTGTCAATCATCTTTATCTTAATCTTTTATATAAGTCAAGAGCCCTCAATAGGGTTGCTCACTGGGTTACTGCAGCTGCGATGTCCAATTTGCTAGCTGCGAATTGGGTCAACTGCCTCCCTTTCCAAACGAGTTTTAAGGTTTTTTTTTCTACTATTTATAATCAAAATTTTCTTAAATGATATCTCTATCTCCTTTTCTGATAAAAAAAAAATGAAAACATGCCCATGTGTCTGTGGATTTATTATGATTTTTGGGTCGCCTAGTTCTTAGAGAGAGTGGGAGGGAGAGAGAGATAAAGAGGAGGGAGGTAGAAAATAAAGATTTTTTTTTGGTTTTATTTTTTGTGTTTGATTTTTTATTGAGGGGCAAAATTGGTATTAGATGTGAAATTTTTGACGACATCAGTCACATGATACACTGTCAGTAACACTTTTAATGGCAGGGAAGTATGTGAGTGTCCAGTGATATTTCAAAAATTATAAAGGGTGTCTTTATAATTAGGCTATTTTTATGGGGTGTCAATAAAATTTACCTTACTTTTAATACTATAATGCTAAATAAAATTAATATTTAAGAATATAAAATTTTTAAATTTTAAATTTTAAATTTTTTTGGGTACAAAATATGATTGCCCCATGGATTTTGATACTCCGAAATCCGAATGACTACTTGGAAGACCCGGTCCGGATTAGATGCGGTAGATTCCACGGATTTACACTGCAGACCAATGAAAAATAGTTAATGCATCTAGAATTTAATTGTTGACCAGGAAAAAGGTCTAGAATTTAATTGGAAAGCAATTGTAGTTGGTGTAGACTTTAATGATCCGTTTGGTGCGATAGAAAAATGGAAGGGTGAAAAGTTTGGAGGATGTAAAAATAGAGAGATAAATAAAATATTATGTTTAGTAAAAAATGATGAAAAAATGGATGAATTAATTTTCATTCTAATTCACCAAAATAAAATATCTCTAAAATTCGAAGGAAAATGAATGAAAAGTTAATTATTTATGTTGAGATATATCTTATTTGTCTATATATTATATATACATTAATTTCACTTAAAAATACAATGATAAAATATGTATATATATATATTAAAATAATAAAAATTTTAAATTAAAAAAATATTTTTTTATCTTAATTAGGAGTGAAAATTTTCGACTCAACACGATGATACGACTCGAACTCAACACAAACTTGATTATAATTCGACACGAATTTGAAAATGATCTGACACGTGAACAAGAAATATAAAATATTCATAATTTAATCACTCAACACAAATCTGACACGGTACGACTCGATTGTTAACCCTAATATTAGACAAAAAAAATTTTTTTTAAAAATTGATCATTTTTATTTTTCATCCACTCAATCAAACACAAAAAAAAAAATGTATTATTTTTATTTTTTATCATTGAAAGATAAAAAGTGGACCCCTCTAATTTTCTAATTTTTTTACCAAACAGAGCATAAGTTATAGTGTCGTATCAAATGTCTTCGTGTCCTTTTAATACAAAACGTCCCATGCTCAAACACAAAACATATTCATGCCGTTTGGGATTAAAATTAAAAAATAAATCTCTTGTTATTTAAATCCGTAAAATTATTAAAATTCGAATAGGAGACGTCCACTTTTATCCGGCACTTATAAAATCATTGACAGATACAAAAATCCACCGCAAAAGTCCACATCACCAAATTTCACTGCCATCAACGGCTCTTATTTGCTCACAAAGCATTCGCCGTAAACCACAATAACTCATCACACCTCCCTCATCTTCTGCTTCCCCTTCCCTCTCTCTCTCTTCCTCTTCTGTTCTCTCTCGTGGTCTTCCTCGGCCAAATCAGAACTCTCCATGGACGAAACTTCTTCCCAGCAATCACAGATTCAGACACAAACAACGTCCGAATCGGACACCGATACGTTACAATACTGGTGCTACCAATGCAACAAGCAAGTGGCCGTCGAAACCCTAGCCGATCTCCCTGACGTCATCTGCTACGAGTGCAAGAACGGCTTCGTTGAGTCTATCGGTACTTCAAATCCTCCTCCTTTAGCCCCAAATCTCCGAGCCTCCGATCAGATCGACGAACCCTCTTTCGGCAACCAGTTCCTCCAAGTCCTCCGCCTCATCGCTCAGGTCGCACGTGAAGATGACTCGCCACCTCCACCTCCCTCAGAACACGCAGATCCATCTGATGATGACTATCTTCGTATCGAATTCGGTGGGTGGGATAACAACGACGACGATGACGATGAAACCGAGGTCGAAGTCCGACATGTAGATGAACAAGGAGGTGATGATCACAATCAAGCTCGATCCGATGTTGATGAGAATGAAAGTCATGAAGAACATGACAATCATGAGGAGAGAGACGAAAACGAAATTCGGAGAAGGCGACGCGATGTGCTTAGGCTAAGGCTCAGGGACTTTGCGGCTCGAGCGGCGCGTAACCAGGTTATTGATTGGGCGGAGATGCTGATGGGACCGGAGGACCACTCCATTGAATTGCGATTACAAGTTCCTGAAATGGATGATTACATAGGGAATCCAGGGGATTACGTAGACGCAGCTGGATACGAGGAGTTGTTGCAGAACTNCCTCTAATTTTCTAATTTTTTTACCAAACAGAGCATAAGTTATAGTGTCGTATCAAATGTCTTCGTGTCCTTTTAATACAAAACGTCCCATGCTCAAACACAAAACATATTCATGCCGTTTGGGATTAAAATTAAAAAATAAATCTCTTGTTATTTAAATCCGTAAAATTATTAAAATTCGAATAGGAGACGTCCACTTTTATCCGGCACTTATAAAATCATTGACAGATACAAAAATCCACCGCAAAAGTCCACATCACCAAATTTCACTGCCATCAACGGCTCTTATTTGCTCACAAAGCATTCGCCGTAAACCACAATAACTCATCACACCTCCCTCATCTTCTGCTTCCCCTTCCCTCTCTCTCTCTTCCTCTTCTGTTCTCTCTCGTGGTCTTCCTCGGCCAAATCAGAACTCTCCATGGACGAAACTTCTTCCCAGCAATCACAGATTCAGACACAAACAACGTCCGAATCGGACACCGATACGTTACAATACTGGTGCTACCAATGCAACAAGCAAGTGGCCGTCGAAACCCTAGCCGATCTCCCTGACGTCATCTGCTACGAGTGCAAGAACGGCTTCGTTGAGTCTATCGGTACTTCAAATCCTCCTCCTTTAGCCCCAAATCTCCGAGCCTCCGATCAGATCGACGAACCCTCTTTCGGCAACCAGTTCCTCCAAGTCCTCCGCCTCATCGCTCAGGTCGCACGTGAAGATGACTCGCCACCTCCACCTCCCTCAGAACACGCAGATCCATCTGATGATGACTATCTTCGTATCGAATTCGGTGGGTGGGATAACAACGACGACGATGACGATGAAACCGAGGTCGAAGTCCGACATGTAGATGAACAAGGAGGTGATGATCACAATCAAGCTCGATCCGATGTTGATGAGAATGAAAGTCATGAAGAACATGACAATCATGAGGAGAGAGACGAAAACGAAATTCGGAGAAGGCGACGCGATGTGCTTAGGCTAAGGCTCAGGGACTTTGCGGCTCGAGCGGCGCGTAACCAGGTTATTGATTGGGCGGAGATGCTGATGGGACCGGAGGACCACTCCATTGAATTGCGATTACAAGTTCCTGAAATGGATGATTACATAGGGAATCCAGGGGATTACGTAGACGCAGCTGGATACGAGGAGTTGTTGCAGAACTTAGCTGATACTGATAACGGAAGAAGAGGGTCACCGCCGGCTGCAAAATCAGCTGTGTCCGCGTTAGAGTCGGTAGAAATTAAAGTTGAAGAGGAGGCTTTCGTTTGTGCCATATGTAAAGATTCGGTGAGTGTTGGGGAGGTACCTAAGAAATTGCCATGTGGGCATGTATACCATGGGGATTGTATTGTGCTGTGGTTAGGTTCGAGGAATTCTTGCCCAGTGTGTAGGTTTGAGCTGCCCACGGATGATCCGGAGTATGAAGAGGAGAGGAAGAAGAGGTCAATGACCACTCCAAGCAGTGCTGCTTCGAGTTCCGGTGGTTATAATTATGGGTTTGATTGATTTTTTTTTGTGGTAAGCTTGCAATTCCTGGACTTCTCTTTTTCCAGTCAAGATTCAGGTTTTTTGTTTCGTTTGAACTTTTGACTGTTTGTGGATTAGTTGAATGAATTTCAATTTGTCTGTGTTTCCTCTCGATGTAAATAATAATTCTCTATTCGAAGAACTGTTTGTTTCTGTTGCATTATAGCTCTAGTTGTTGTTCAAAAAATAGATGCTGATGGTTCGTAGAGTCGTGGAAGTTCAATCATCATTTGGTTGGAAGTTTGAAATCAAATAAAATGATTAGTAAGATCACAGCATTCACAACATTATTGAAGCAGAATTCGCAGGTTGTCTTCTTGTTATTGTTTCTGATTTCTTTGTATTCTTGTCTTCAAACATTATGATTTATGGGCAAGTACCATGGATTGTAAGTTTTGTCTCTGCATCGCGTTGCAGTATTAAGCAATAGTTCACTTGTGCACAGGTGAACAATATTGCAGAACGTTGCTGTTGAAGTTGAGACATTATTGGGAGTTCTGTACTTCCACTAGAATCATGGTCGGTCGCAAATCATGCTTATGCATGTTGGCCATCCCAGTAGTTTCCAGAAGTAACTCTTACCACAGAAAAAATTCTAGATAGTGCCAACAACTGCAAGCATTAAAATCGACATAGAAACCTTACATGAAACACATAAGCCTTTTAGCTATTATTCATTTTGAAGTGCATATGATTTTAACTGGTGTAATTTAACATTATCTTTTTCTTGGTTCTTTCTCCTATGTTGTTGTGGTATTGCAGGAATTGGTAACTTGTTGATCCTGATAATAATAATAATGTCAGTGAGAGAAATTATAAAGCTTGCAAATTGATGAAGAACATGGTTTAATGCAGGAGAATAATGGAGCATAATTCCTGCAACAATAGTGATGACTTTGTAGCTTTTGGTGAATTGGTATCCATATTAAGATATTATTCATCATTAGGGACAATTTGGATTATGTATTCCATGTGAATTTTCCAAGACTATGTCATGTTGTCACCATCTGAAACAAGAATGGTATAAATTAAATTCTATTAGGCAGTGTCAGAGGCCACATTCTTCTTTTTTTTTTTTTCTGGTTCATGGCTTTTTCTGGTGGTTTGTTAGAGCCTGATGTCATCAAAGTCCATGATTAATGAACCTAAGACCCAAAATATGAAAGAGATAAAGCAAGATGTACTTAAACAGAGATGATCAATAAAACAAAATTATTTTAGGGAGCATTCTGTTCTTTGCCATGGATTCAAGTCCATCAGATCTTTAAAAGCCTTTGCACTTCTTCAACTAGAAGTCTGGTTACCAGGATTACCATGCCATATGCATATTGGAAGTTTTATTTGCAAGTCAGAAGATTGTCATAGGGTGTTTTGAGGCATTTGACAATGATTGGATGACGGTTGGCAATGGATGGAGGTTGCTATATTCTGAATTTCTTGTATTGTGAAAAATATTACTTTTGGATGATGATCATTTTTTCAATTTAAAGTCGAGCTAGATTTTAGTTTCTGTACTTCAGTTGGTAATTCAAATCTTTTTTCTACCTGGAAAAAATGCCTCTCTTAAATGATGGTGGCAATTTGATGTTTTCACATTTGAATATGTAGAACCAGGTCATTGATTATGCAATTCTACTACTAATGGGTGAGTTCAGAGTTGCATGCCTTGGTGCACGTGAAATATGAATGCCCAATGGAACTTATAATGTGATATTGACTAGGTGTATCTGCGTGCTATTAATTTCTAATGGATTTGCTGCTGCAATAGAAAACCATTCGTCTTGTAGCGTTTTTTGTGAAATTTATCGTTCATATATAGCAAATTGTTCTTCTTGTACCCTTTTGGTTTAACTTAATAGCTTATTATCACAATCTTTTATCATGGGAGGGGAGGAAACATCTTTTATCTGTACTCTTCATCTTTAGTACTGACTATAGACAGTGGTCGGGTGGGGCTTTGAATACAATCTGCCTTTGTGATACATCTGTTGTAGCAATACATTTTTTTTCAATTTTATTTACTCTTGTAATGTGCAAGATTTTGGTTGGATGAGGAGTGACATTGTTTGGCTACTCCTGCAGAACATTATGGTTGAGTCATCACCTCCCAAGCCAAAAAACCATAATGAGGGATTGGATTGTTATGTTTCAGAATCAGTTGTATTCACAAGTTTGAACTGAGTTGTTAAAGCTCGAGAGGTTTTTATTGTTTATGTTGTTGGTTTTAACAGATTTGGTACTAGATGAAACATTGGCGATGATCTGCAAACATTCTGTATGTCCTTTTATTGTCCATATCCTTTCTGTTTTTTTTGTTGCTTTTCCCTTCTCTCTTTCTGGGAAAAATTGATATCGGTGTGATCCTAATCATAAATGCCTCGTCAAAATTAACTCGAGTATCTCATTAGGGCTGCAGCGATCCTTGATGGGATCACTCTTCGCTGTTTCTGCATCCTACTTGAAGGAGGGAGGGGGAAATATGCTGAAGAGAGAGACTACTATCTTGTGCACATTTCTCTTACAATCCAGCTACAGCTTGGGCTTGGTTGAGTTTCAATTAGTAGCATATGACTAGAAACTCTGCCAGCCGAGGGTTTTTACATGGATCCCATGACGCATTACCGATGCTTAGTTCCCTGAAGAATGTTATATTCTTGGTATTAATTTATAATCTATTTTCTTTGAATCTTTCCCTTGCTTCTCAGTATTGGGATCTTATGCCTCATGGCTGATGCTAATTGATCTTTTTGACTTGGGAACAATTCTCCAAATTTGCGCTTTCTCAGTATCAAATTCATAATTTTCATGAAATGACGTGACAGACGAATTCAAAGATCCGCCCTCTTATCAGATTTTTTTATGTGCTTTATGTCGAGCACGATTGAGTTGCTCTTTTCAAAACGTTTGAATCGTGATTTAACATAAAGCTTGAATGATTAATTGTGACTGCATGATGTGAATATAAAGTTCGAAATTTATTTCCTCACTTTTTTTCTTAGCAAAACTACTTCAGGACATCTTTTTGGGGAAAAGAAAATTTTAGTTATATTTTTTTTAATATATCATATCTTTAAGGACATCTTTTTTATTTTTTAAAATTTGATTTGAGGTAATTAAAATTTATTTTTTATGTATTCAAATTGAAGTCGATTAAAAATTATATTTTTTACATATTAAAATTTAAACTAATTAAAATTTTATACGAACCGATTAAAAATCAAATCTTAATCGGCTCAACTCAAATTTTAATCAACTCGCGTTGATTTTTAATCGGTATAAATTTTGATACATAAGAAAATATAAATTTTAATCAACTCAAATTTTAATATGTAAAAAATAAATTTTAATTAACTTGAATTGTATTTTAATAAGTAAAAAAATATAAATTTTAATTAATTCGAAACGAATTTTAAACGGTGCTAAAGCTCAAATTAACTTAAATTTTAATACATAAAAAAAGAATTCTAATAGTTCAAATTTTGATACGTAAAAAAAATAAATTTAATCAGCTCAAATTTTAATATGCAGAAAAATAAATTTTAATCGGCTTGAATTTTATATAAAAAATTTATTTGGGGTTTATTAAGAGGTTTTTTTGGTATTTTAGATAAATATTTTTGGTTAGAAATGGTGGTTAATGGCAAGGGTGTCGGTGGTATTTAAATATGAACAATAAGAAGTGTCAGTAATATTTTTGACAATAAACGTAGTTGAAATTTTTCCTGGTTTTATTCGATGGTTTACTCGCAGACCCTTTCTGAAGAAATATCAACTTGATGACATCATATTTTTCTGATTGTAAACGACCCCATTCGAGTTTGGTATCCAAATTGAGAGGACAAAAAAGTGAGTGATAGAAGGAGATCAAACAAGTCGTTGATCAGATAAGGTACAAGGAAGTAGGATTTCCAAGTCCGATTTCTTCAACAAGGAGGGGAACGTATTCACCTAAAAAAAGGATGGGAAACAAGTTTTTTTTGGGGAGCTGGGCAGAAGGAATAAAAACTTGCCTTAGCAGTTGGCACCAATGAGGAAATAACGGTTTTTTTTTTTTTTTTCCTTTCCTTTAAGAAAGAGAGCGAGAAATCCAAGCCTTTCAAGACCAATATGATGATTAATTAGGTAGGGTGACCGGTCTACTACGGGCAGCTGTAAGGATTAGTGTCTAGTGAGTGAAAGGGGGCTTCAGCGGACGACTTTGTTACCTCAAGCAGCTCAAGTGTCTTGGCTGAAACAGACTTCAAGATGACCCTAATAAATTTTCCCCTTAACGTAAATGCTAATGGGAGCATTTACAGCACAAGAATAGCAGACAGCACAAACATCAGTAGTGCTAATAGCTGTGTTTAACTGCTAAGATCAACAAACTCCAGCTTGAGTCTGCAAAAACCAGGATTCAGTCAACCTCGGATGCCACATCTGATGTATTCAATATCAAAAGAAAACACAATGCATGTATCACCTATAAACATGAATGTAAACATGTGCAAATTAAACCGCCAAAACATACATACAGAAGACACCCATTCCTCTAGATTCCTTTTGATAAATATGGGAAAGATTACAGCTACATGTACCAAGTTCTCTGTCAAGCAATGGCCATCTATGAAACACAGGAAGGTAAAATAAGAAAACAAACCATTTGAAACGATTAAACCTATATTCTATCCTTCTTTGGCAATTAATCTCACGAATCATATTACATCCATAATCCCTATCTTTATTCAGTGCTATCTCAAACCCCAGGTCCTCCCACTCAATCAAATAGGCTCATCTGCTCTCAGCATTATCTATGGCTATACAAGAACTAGCTAGTTCTTCTTAGTTCCTAAACTGATTCCAAGAGAGGAAGCCCAGATGAATAAAAACTCTATCTCCCTGCTGGTGGCTGATTTCTAAAGTTGAAACGGTAGGGCTCCCACTGACTATCTGGTTCTTTGCGTTTCCCACCAACACCAGAACTGGAAGATGGTTGTGAGCTGGCACCCAAATGCTCATCCATTGACCTTGTCTGACTGGGATTGAAAAGTTGTCTCAAACCCCCAGATTCTCTATTTCCCACCTCAATCATCAAGCCGGAGTTCAGATCAAAGTTAGGACGTGAAGGTCCAGGCCCATTTGAT